CTCGATATTAATCGATTCTCATTTTTACGGAACGATATCGATTCTTAAATCCAAGAATGGATTATTCTAGCCTGTTTTCAGTTAATGGACGGAACATTGAAGGGCGCCTCCCATCTAATAAATCGCAATAAGCATTGTGCTTTGTTACTTTTAATATGAAACAAAGTCTCAGATTTCAAATTCTGTCCATTGTATTGCAGGATTCAAACAATAAATGCCGTTTTGGCTCTGTTTAATGTGGAGTGATCGCTGAACTGATCATCTCCTCCGCTTTATTACTAGTTATAGCACAAAATAAACATGACTAAACATCCGAAGGTAAGTTAAAAGAAAGAGTACAACTTTACAATCCGTCTCCTGTCTCGTGTAATCTCTCGATCAGTGTTTCAGCCGCGCAAAGATGTCAATATATCGGCTTGTAAACAATGTCACATTTACCTCAGAAAAACATATTCGGTGACCATAAACTCATTAGTCAGCCAGAAAAATAAACTGTAGAGAGGGGCATTTTGCTAAATATATGCATAAAATGCATTTACTATAACGGTGTTCAAAGTGAGATTCGTAATATTTTCTAAGGTTTTAAAAGAAGTCTTTTCTGCTCAGCAAGGCTGCTTTTGTTTGTACAGTAAAAATACACGCCTGATTCAAGAAGGGGGTCTGATGGCCAAAAAATGTTATTTTACTAACTCATTAATTTTAAGTTAAATTGTGCTTTGTTGGTGTAGAATGTTTAAAAATGTTCAGTGTTAAATATTTTTAAATTGTTGTTTTGTAATAGAAAAGCAAGACAAAATGTAATTTGTGCAATGGGAAAACACTCGAGAAACTGTTCAGCATTCGGCCCAGTGCTTCATCGTGTTCGGTTTCGGCTTCAAATGTAGATTTCTGTGCATCCCTAGCTTTGTCTGATATGATTTGTGTCTGGGTTTGTAAGCGGCTCGCTCGTAAGCACGGCGTGTTGCATCTTGTTTTCTGATGTTTATGTTGAGCAGCCCGTGTTCGTTCAGCTTGATTGAGAAAAGCAGACGGTTTGAATGCGGCTCAGAGCTGTGTTTGTGTGCTGCTGTCCCTGAGATGCAGACTAACCCATTCCTTCAGACTCGTACCGTGCAGATTTCCTCTCGCTCTGCTCTGTTCGGCAGATTCTCACTCGTGTCAGCGTTATCTATCATCGTATTGTCCGTCGTAAACGTTCTGAAGGGAGCAGTGGGCTTTTATTTTCTCCTGGTGTTTGTCAGTGATGGAGTCGGTGTATATTTTCTCTGATTGTGTTTCTGTGCACGCTTTAGCTAGCTCTTTGTGTCCAGCATGAATGGTATCGGTCTTCTGCTGCAGACGGCAGCTGTAGAGGTTTTCACGAGGGTCTAGTGTTACCTTCAGCAGGTGAGTGTGCGTAACCCGAGCGAGGGCTGATGGGTAATCCGGCCTCCGGTTTGACCGACACAGGTGCTGTTGTTCTGGTCTGACGACGCGGAGGAGGAGGAGGAGGAGGAGGAGAAATTGTTTTTGAGATC